ATAAGTATAACTATATCAATAATAAGAATCAGAAGAAGAACCAGAACACTAACATAATCCTCTGATAGAATAATAACTCCTCAGTATAACTAATAACTAGACTTTTAGAGAAGGAGAAAGCTCTCCCTACGACTTAGATAAACCTTGCAACGTTGCCTGATAATACACTCAGACAGAGATCGCCTATAGATTCACCCCTAGTGTGAACAACTCCAGCTCTGAAGAAGAACCTAACGATCAGGAAGGAAGAACTAAACAGCTCCTGAAGTACTAGGAAATCAATATGCTTTAAGACAAATAATAACGCCACTTCTATAGCATCTCAGCAAATCAATAAGACTAAGACTACCACCCTTAACTACACACAGAAGACCACCCCACGCTGAGAAGCAACCACTAACTTCACTGAACTCTCTTCTGGCCTTAGTGCTTCTATAATAAATATAAGGAATATATAGGAGAAAAGCATAACTACTAGTTCTACCCCAGAAGACATAACGACAAACCTATCCATAAGATCTACTTAACCTCTATTATGATTAGATGGACTATAGTACTATTTAAAGACAGCTTTACAGTCTTTAGACCTAGCCCTCAGTTCCCTATGAGATGTTAACATAACGACAGTATAAAATAGGATGAATACTAATAAGATGAATACTAAGTTTACTACTAAGAAAAGGCATAAGCCTAGAGAATCGCAAAGAATAGACCTAGACCTCCATAGGTTAGGATCTGCAAAAACAGCCTCGCAAAAGCATAATGAGAAGGAAAGCAAATCACCTACCTAGGACAACCAGAGCAGTTAAAAAACTAGACTCACCTACTAACGACAGATCACAACAGGCAACAAGGATAAGATTTATCTACTAGATATCATAAGGACATAAGAATAACATAGAATTTAAAGTCACTATTAACAAACAAATAACACTCATGCTGATTAACAGCAGAGCTAAAGCGAACTTCATTACCCCCTAAGCTATTAATAGGCTAGAAATATAATAGGGAGGAAAAGAACAACCATATCAGTTACACACAGCAGAAGGAGAAGAATTTAAGTATAAAGGAGGTACTATCTATAATAAGACTACGCCCCTTAAGATAAGCTACCTAAATCAAAAAGAAAGAATCTAATTTGATATTGCTGATCTAGGAATATATAACATAGTGCTAGGACTACCTTAGCTATAAATAAGCAACCTATAGATAGATTAGAGCAAAGGCTAACTCTATTAGGACTATTATAATTCAGTCCCTAAGCAGCCCTATCAGAATCAGGCCTCAAACTAATTAATACGATAAGGAATAGCAAAACAATACCTCTGCAGATTACCTTAAGGCAAAAGAAGCTATATCATAACTACTAATAATAATAGATCTTAAACAAAAGAACGATCTACTTCTGTCTATCCCAGAAGAATACAGAGTTTATAAGAAACTCTTTGCAGCTGAATTAGAAACAGGACTGCCTGAACACACTAGTTTTGATCACAAAATACCCCTCAAAGAAGGAAAAGAACCATAATTCAACAAAATCTATAGACTTAACCAGACAGAGATAGAAGCCCTAGACAAATATCTTAACAAAAATCTCAAGAAGGGATACATCAGACCTTCAACATCACTAGCAGGAAGTCTAATCCTATTTATACCTAAGAAAAACAGAAAGTTATAACTTTGCATTAATTACCGCATACTTAATAAGATAATAATTAAGAACTGCTATCCACTACTGCTTATCGACGAAATAAGACGACTCCTCTATAGAGCTAACTTGTTCACAGCCCTCAACCTTAAAGGAGCCTATAACCTGATCAGAATAAAGCAAGGAGAAGAATAGAAGACTGCTTTCAAAACCCAAAAAGGATATATTAAGTACCTTATTATGCCCTTCAGCCTCACTAACGCCCTTGCAATATTCCAAAATATGATCAACTAAGTTTTATGCAAATATATTAATATCTGCGTAGTAGTCTATCTTCATAATATCCTCATCTTCTTATTAACACTTAAGAAATATAAAGAAGATATACACCATATCTTATAAGCCCTCTAAGAAGCTAAGCTATTAGTTAAACCTAAGAAAAGCGAATTCTATATATAAAAGGTGGAATACCTCAGATTCACTATCACCCCTAGAAAAGTCTATATATTAGAAAACAAAGTTAAAGCTATTAAGGAATAGCTGGTACCTAACAACCTGAAGGAAGTCCAAGGATTCCTAGATTTTATTAACTTCTACTGCAAATTTATTAAAAACTATAGCAAGATCAACGCAGCTCTTATAAGCCTCAGCCGCAAAGACACACCCTTTATATGGACACCCTTTATATGGGAAGAACCATAACGAACAGCATTCCAGAAGATCAAGGACCTCATCGCCAGCAAACATATCTTAATTATTCTAGAACTAACAAAACAATTTGAAGTAGAACCTAACGCATCTGACTATGCGATAGGAGCATAATTATCTCAATAAGATTCAGAAGGACGACTATATCTATATGCCTTCTTTTCTCGCAAGCTCCACAGACCTGAACTCAACTATCAGATTCATAACAAGGAACTTATAGCAATCATTAAAGCCTTTAAGGAATAGAGACCTAAGCTTTCAGGAACTATCCACAAAGTACTTATATATTCAGACCATAAGAACCTTTCACACTTTATAACTTCAAAAGTGTTAAATAAACGACAGATTAGATAGTTAGAATTCCTATTAGAATTTAACTTCTAAATCATCCACTGCAAGGGATCAGATAATAGCAGAGCTGACGCTCTTAGCTGACGACCAGACTATAACGTCCTAGTACCTGAAGAAACCTAGGTGATTCTTAAAGGAAATAACAACAGAGACCTAGTGCTAGCAACCAAACTCTTAATAATAGCCAGACGATCTAATACTAGCCTGCCTAGCAAACTAGACGATAAAGCAATTATAGAGTTTCATGCTCGCCCTATATACAGTCACTAAGGAATCATAAAAACCTAGAAATAACTATGATAATAATATAGAGAAAAGGTCACCAGAGAATAAGTGGCAAAAGCAATTAAGGATTATAAGGTCTGCCTTAAAAGCAAACCTGCTTAATATCAACCTTATAGTATGCTATAACCCTTGCTTATGCTGTAAACCGCCTAGTAATCTATATCCCTTAACTTTATCGTCAAATTACTAAAGTCTTAAGAACCCCTTATAGGAGTACACTTTAACAGCATTCTTATTATTATAGACCGACTTATAAAGTATGCCTACTTCATCCTATATAAGGAATTAAGCAACACTGAAGAATATGCCTACATATTTCTCAAATATATTATCGCTAATCACAGAACACCTAAGGAAATTATATCAGACAGAGATAAGATCTTCACTTCTAAATTCTAGAAGTTAATCATATCATACCTCAGCATTAAATAATTAATATCTACTGCATTCCACCTGCAAACCGGCAGATAAACAGAATAAATCAACTAAATCCTCGAAATATATCTCCACGCCTATATTAACTACAACTAAGATAATTAGGTTATATTGCTACTAATAGCCTAATTCACCTATAACAGCGCAGTGGGAGAAAGTACTAAGGAATCCCCCTTCTATCTCAACTATAGATTTGAACCAACCGCCTATAGAAACATATAACCAGGCCTAGCTGCAGTTAAAGCTGTTGCCTTAGTATGATAAATCAAAGATATCCAAGATAACGCACAAAAAGAACTTAAATTTATATAATAATGAATAGCATAATTCAGTAATCAACAAAGGATTAAGGGACCAACCTTAAAAGAGGGAGATAGCGCCTATCTTATATAGCAAAACATTAAGACAAAGCGACCAAACAACAAACTTAACTATAAAAAACTTAGACCTTTTAAAATTTCATAAGTAATTTCACTAGTTAACTATAAACTCAGACTTCTAGAAACTATGAAGTGTCACCTAGTATTCCACGTCTTACTCCTCAAACCAGCACTCTATGGATCACAGATAAACGATATTATTATTATAAAAGACAATAAACCAGAGTATAAAGTTAAACGAATTATCAACCATGTTAAGGAACCAGAAGGATACTAATACCTCATCAAATAGAAAGGATATAGATATAAAGATAATATATAGGAACCAGCTAAAAACATCACTAAAGCAGCAGAAGAACTTATAATCTATTAGTAATAACACTAAGAATGAGAAGCCACACTAGCACCTGTTGTATTAGTCCAGAAGAATGCTGGATATAAGCAAATCAGACACCTATATTGCTTCACCAGACCACCTACTGAAGCAGATCGACTGCGATAAGGAAAACCATTTATTCGCCTAGGAACACCAGAACACAACTAAGATTCCCCTGACAGAAAATTCAGAGTACTAGGATTCTAATCACCTTAGACAGCGTCTAGGTCTACCACACTAAAACCACCTATAGACTGAACCTCTAACGTAGGTAACACCACCAGCTCCTCCTTAGTAACCTCCCAGCCCTTCTGAAACACTATTCTCTTCTGCTTACGCAAACGATCTAACTTCGCTATAGATTTATCCAGCTCAGCCTGCGCTGCATATAAAGCAGCAACTTTCTTTCTCAACACCTCCTCTTCAGCCACCTCTGCATCCTCCAGATAAGCAGCCTCATCTAATAAACAATCGACTATAATCAGTTAGTAAGGCCTATAAAGCATGATAAGTTTGAAGAATATATAAGCGTAAACAGCGTCTGCTGCTATATTATAAGACTGCCTTAGATGAGTACACTTGCTATAAACTTCACCACTAGGAAGCAACTTGCAACGCTTGCCTGAAGAACAACAGTAGGAATAAGGTATATCAATAATAAAACTAAACTCAGCAATACGCAGCGTATAATTGCAACAACGACTTCCCTCTCGCCTAATTTTTCTTGGCATCCACTGTTAGTGTAATACGTGGGAGACTACCAAAATTCCTTAACAGCTGAAAACCCTTCACCTCTCGCCTCCAGCGCCCTCCCGCGATGGCCTCGCAGCCTCCGGCGGGCTCTGGACCTTTGCCGGCCTCCTCGGCCGGCCCTGATCGAGGCTCCAGAGCCCCTCTGGAGCCGTCCCCAACCTCAAGGGCTAAACGCCGCCGCGGTACCGAGGCCCAGCTATCCCAGCCCAGCCTCGCGGGAAGCCAGCCTGACGCCTCTACGACAACCCCCTTAACGGCTAAGGGGCCCTCAACCGTGAATAGGATAGCTGCTGGAGCTATCCTTACAGCCCTTAACGAAGAGGCTAAGCACTATGAAGCCCGAAAGGATGTCTTTATGGCTATCGCCCAGTCTGTGGATAACATGGTCTCTTGCTTTGAGGGACCTAGGAAGCAGATCGCAAAGGAGGCTACAACCTATGTGATCTAAGCCTTGAAGAGGATTATGTGGAATGAGTCTGCAGCCCCGAACCCAAGCTGGAACTAGGCTGACGTGGCGGCCTCAGCTGCAACTGCAGCTGCAGCCCCAGCCCCAGCCCCAGCCCGCACCCAGAACCCAATCCAGCCCCAGGCCCAGACTCAGACTCTAACCCAGCCACAGGAGGACCTCCGGGTCTTTGCCCGCATCCCTGAGGAGGGTTTAACGGCTGCTAGGAAGCACACCCCTTTTGCCCTTCGTCGGAAAGTCTGCCAGGCCCTTAGCCTCCAGCTGGCAGATATCCCACATATCTACCACATTACAACTAGCTACTCGCTGAGACCCCTGAATAAGCAGGTCCAGCAAGCCCTCCTTACAAACAAGCAGAAACTCGCTGATAGTCTGGGAGCTTATAAGGTTAAGTCCCCTACTAAGTGGTTTACTTATGTCGTCCCACGCTGCCCTGCTAAGATGTGGACTCTTGAAGGCGATACCCTTGACCTAGCTGCTCTGGTTGAAGACGAGGTCCTCGCCCAAACAGGGCTTAAGCCCACCCAGGCCCAACAGTCCCGCCTAGGTGTAAACCCTATTACAAACGAGGTCTCCTGGATTATCTCCTTCTCTATAGAGGTGCCGCCCTTTAGACTTTTTAACCAAAGCAGCCGGTCTCAGCTTATTCGGAAGAAAAAGACCCTCATCAGACATGACCCTGGCTGCCAGGGATACTATTCGAACTGATACTGTAACCGACAGCCGCTCTGTGGCAACTGCAGCAGGCCCTCAGGCTCCCATGAGACCTGGCCCTGCACAGCTAGACCGAAGTGCGCTAACTGCGCCAGCCCCTTCCAAGCTAACCACAAGGACTGCCCAGCAAGGCCCCTGGTGGTGAACGGCTCCCCTACCCTTCCAGGTCGGAAGGAACTCTCCTGGATCCGAAAGGCTGGACAGAAGGCCTACGAGGCCCTCTATCAGAGCAGCCAGGCAGGTAGCCAAGCCACCTGCAACCAGCAGCCTAGCAGCAGCCTGACAAGCCCTCAGCCTAGCTCGAAGCGACCACGCGCCCCTACCCCTACCCAGGACTCAATTATTGTAGCGGACGTTAGCGATACAGCAAGCTCTAGCAGTATGGATGAGGATGAGAATGAGGCTGAAGCAGAAGTCTCTGATAACAACCCTATCCTACCACCACTACCCACCCAGCATATCCCAGCTGCCTCAAGCAGCAGGGCCCAGCGGGTAGCTCAGAAGCCTGACTATAACGTTGTTAATGCCTACACCCACCTCGACCTCGACTCAGAGCAGTAGGCTCAGAACGGCTACCCCACAGGTACTACAGGTCGCCCAGTGTAACGTGGGGAAGATAAGCCTAGCTCATACAGCTTTCCTAGAGCTCTGCTGGGCAGATCAGATCGATATAGTACTAATCCAGGAGCCCTGGATAGGCTATAGAGATAAGCTGCAAATCAACACACACCCAGGCTATAACTCTTATGTGCCAGTTGACTTCTGGAACAGCAGAGACATAAGGCCTAGGGTTATGACCTATATACAGAAGAGTCTAAGGCTACAAATACAGCAATAAAGACCAACCTAATCAAGGGACATCCTATGGATCAAGGCTGGCGATGTTACTATTATGAATATCTACAGGCCACCAGGTGAACCTGCAAACCATATAACAATAAACATCCTCCTAAACTATCGACCGCCAGAAAGAGCCCTTATTGCTGGGGATCTTAATGCCCGCCACTCTTCTTGGGAACCTGGCTCTCTAAGCCGGAATCAAGGGGATGATATCGCAGAATAGGCTGAAGGGGGTAATCTTGAGTTTATTGGGGAAGTTGGGGCCTCTACCCATACTCACGGGCATACACTCAACCTTACCTTCTCAAATATCCCCTTCGCAGAGGCCTATATCAGCCCACACCTACATCCAGGGGCTGACCACCAGGCTATTACAACTATTATCCTACTAGGCAAGATCCAGGAGCAGAGGCGCCAGACTGGTCACCTCTCAGTCCCAGACTCAGCCCTCCTTCGACTTGCTGATTTAGTAAAGATGGGGATCCCAGCCCTACCCACCTTAGGGGATACACCTACTCCAGCAGAAATAGATACCCTAGCTACCCAACTAGTCAGCCTCCTCTCTACAGCTACTCAGGCTGTAGGAAAGAGACGGACTAACCAGGGCAGGGGAGCCCCCTGGTGGACAGAGGTGTGTTCAGAGGCCTACTATGCAGCTATTAAGGCTAGACAACGACAAGCCTAGGAACCTAGGCTTGTCTTACCGCCGCCTATCCTTAAGGAGCAGAAGGCCTTTCTGACCACAGTTAGGAAGGCAAAACGTGCCTACTGGGCTACTAAGATTAAGGAGGCTAGGTCTAACCAGAACCTATATCAGATACTAAGCTGGCGTAAGTCTGGTCTAGCTGTAAGGGCCCCGCCTCTTATAGTAGATGGACAGGTAATCAACAACTCCTATGATAAAGCCCAAGCCTTACGGAAGGCCCTACTAGAGAGATTTGACGCTACAGACGACTTCTATGGGAACCTATTTGCTATTCCTATAGTTCTAAGGCGTCTAATACCCTGGCAGCAGATAGTCAACATTGAGGAAGTACGCCAGGCAACTCTCACAAAGGCTACAACCCCTGGGATTGATGGGATTACTACAAAGTTACTACAATCCATTTGGGGCCTGATAGGTGTTCCTATACAGCAGCTCTTTCAGGCCTGCGTTCAGATAGGCTACTTCCCTAGGACCTTCCGCAAAGCAGAGGTAGTTATGATCCAGAAGCTGGGAAAATCAGACTTCTCAAAGGTGGGATCTTGGCGTCCAATAGCCCTCTTATCCTGCTTAGGCAAGGGCTTAGAGCGGCTGATAGCAAAGAGGATGGCATACCTTACTATTTTGGAAGGGGTTGCCAGCCCACAGCAGGTTGGGGCATTACCAGGGAGGGCTGCAGTCGACCTGACAACCTGCCTAGCCCATGAGATCGAGAGAGCTCTAGACTTAGGACTCACTGCCACCCTGGCAACAATGGATGTTAAGGGAGCGTTTGATTCCATGCTGCGAAACCAACTTATCCTTAGGCTACGACAGCAGGGCTGGCCTAGTAGTCTGATTAGGCTGATCTTCACCTTCACGTTGAGTCGCACAGCTTGAGTTAGGCTCGAGGACACTACTACAGAGGACTTTCCCCTATCCTATGGGCTGCCACAAGGCTCCCCGCTATCCCCTATACTCTTTCTGCTGTATATAGCAGACATCCTAGCTGACGATCAGAAGCTACGGTTTGGCTATGCGGATGATATAGGCCTGCTGGCTACTAGCCCTTCCCTGGAGGGAAACACTGCAGCCCTTAGCCAGGAGATAACTCGGATCCTCAACTGGGGCACTGATAATAAGGTTGCGTTCGACCCAGCTAAGTGTGAAGCAATCCACTTTAGCAGGAAATATAACCAGACAAGAGATCTACCAGATATATAAGCAAGAGACCTAACTATTAAGGCCTCAACTAAGCCTATACGTTAGCTAGGGGTCTAGTTCGACAAAAGACTTACCTTCCGGCACCACGTCGATATAAAGGTAGCAGCAGCAAGGAAGGCAGCCTAGTTCCTACAGCACCTGTCAAACACCAAAGGGGGGCTCCCAGCTGCTGCTGCCCGCCAAGCTGTTATTGCCTGTGTCCTCCTAACAGCCCTGTATGGAGCTGAGACCTGGTATGCAGGTTTAAGTAGACCAGCCAGGAACAGTGGCACTACTACCGCTAGCAGCAGTGCTACCAACCAGGTAGCTACTGTCAGTACAGGACAGAAGGGCCTGGTTAAGAGTGTTGGAAAGGTTATCACAGCAGCAGCAAGGGCTATCCTGCCTGTCTGGAGGACCACCCCAACCAGCAGCCTTCTCTGAGATGCTGGCCTGCCTACAGCAAAAGTAGCTCTTGAGGCAGCACGCTTATGCTTTGCCACGCGCCTACAGAAGGTTGACCAACAGCACCCCTTAGTCCCTAGGCTTTCACAGCTAGGACGGCAGCAAACAAGGTTACAAAGAACAGCAGCCCTCCTACCGAAATGCTCAAGGCCGTTGCTCCTACAGCCACAGCATCTCTTGGGATCACAAGACCCTACAGCTAGCCAGAGCAAGGAGAAGGCAGCTAAAGCGTTTCAGGACTGTGTTAAGACTGTGCCAGATAACCACATAATTATCTACTCAGACGGCTCTAAAGCCCCTGATGGGGCTACAGGGTTCGGCTTTGTCATCTACCGCGGCAATAAACGGATAGCCCAAGGGTGTGGCCGTCTCAGCATTGCAGAAGTATTCGATGGCGAGGCAGAGGGGGCGAGGGCAGGGCTCCAAAGGGCCCTCCTTACCTCCCAAGGCCAGCCTATACACATCTGTATTGATAACACCAGCGTCATCCAGGGGATACGCGGCAACATCCCGGACTCCTCACAAGCTGCCTTCTTAGAGATTCAGGCAGCAGCCAGGATACACAACATACAAACCCATTGGTCTCCAGGGCACCAAGGTATCAGAGGAAACGAGGAAGCAGATAACCTAGCTAAGGAGGGCATAACCCTGCCAGTCCCTAGGGGCCTACTGCCGACCCTATCAGGGATTAGGCGGCTTGCTAAAGAACGTAAACAACGCCAGCATAGGAAATGGTGGAAGCGAGAGGCAACCCCCCAGTATACCCAGCTAGGGCTTAAGGCCACCCTTGGCTGCCCTCCTGAATTAGCCCTACCAAGAGCTATCCTTCATCATCTCCTAGCAGCTCGATCAGGCCACGGGGACTTTGAACAGTATCATCAACGCTTTAACCACACAGAAGCACTACTCACCTGCTCCTGCGGAGAAGCTAAGGAGGTGGACCACCTGGTCTACTGCCGAAAGACGCTAGTGAGGAGGCAACGGTGGCCCACCCTTCACCCTTATAGTCGACGGGAGCCTCTAGGACCTATGGGTTCTCTAGAGCGTTACTTTAAGGGGCTAATCATCGACTCAGAAGGCTTCCAGGCTTTCATCAGCGTGACAGACTTCTTCCAGAAGATCTGCCCGCGGTACTGAGAGATAGGCTGTAGCCTACTCTCTAAGCAACAAACTACCACTACTAGGTAATAAGGTTATTACAACGGAACTAGGGCACCAGTGGGAACTAGGGAAGGATAGAACACATAGTAGCCTACGGGCAAGACTTGGAGGACGCTAAGAAGCGGCATGTGCTTAGAGTATACAGCTAGAATCTGCGGCCCTCCACGCCATATACCCTTCGGGAGGTCTGCCGCAAGGGCGTCTGCGCCCTTGCCGCCACGGCGTTAAATACCAAACAAACAACAAACAACATAATTGCAACAACAAAGAGTAGAGGCAGAATTTGATTTTGATTTTTAAATGCAACCTAACATAATGTCAGCATTATAGATAAATCAGGAAGCATAATTAACAGAACCCTAACCTAGGACTAACAACCTACTTATGTTAGGTCTTAAGGATAAGACCTTTAGAGAGGGGACCTGATATTACAACCTGTAAACAAGGATAACAGTTAAACAACCCACTTAGGCATCAGGCGGCTAGAACAGGATATTTATACTGTAGGATCATAAGAATAACAGGGACTCACTTAGAACAGAAGAACTATAGTATAAGTTATATAACGATAAGATAAGAAAATAATCAGTAGAGTATAGGAGGGAACGCTTAGTGATCAGTTGGTCATGCCAACTGATCGCAATCACCTTACGCACTTAGGTGATCACTCTGGGATAAACAAAGAACACTGTTTAGAACTTATATATAGTATAACCCTAAGCATAGCTTATGGTCAGACTTCTATAGCTCTTCAGCAATCAACTTAGTGTTCATCCTCACAGATACTCTCAGCTTACCTTCACTGCGAATTACTTATTAAGTCTAAGACTGATCACCTTAGCCTCTGAAGACCTGATCTACTATCAGCCTACGACCTACGACCCAGACCACGACCCCAGTGTACTGTTAGAACGTATCAATCCCCAGCTTCTGTTAGCAGACCCTACTGTCGGATAGCTGACCGTAACACCTTCGCGAAGAGAGACAATAGCACATGGAAAAGTGGGTGGAAATGTCATTCACTTCACAGTGTTTTCATTTACAGTTAGATCAGCAGGACTGGACCTGAGGAGGTACAGTCCGTTGCGTTAACAGCATCCACCCCCCAATTTTCAGCCTAAAAAAGGCTAAAAAAGGGGCCTTTTACTAAAAACCACTAAATTACCCTAAACTTCGTACACTAATAACTCTATACGTACGTAATACGTAT